AAAAAACTTTTTGTCATTTTGTCTAATAATGGGATCATGTCCACACTGGTACTAGTACTTATATATATTTAAGAAATAAGATCCGACTGTATAATGTACAACATACATAGTTCTAATGTTTCGACGCACAGTCACATCTGAAATAATTAAATTTAATTAAGAATATATATTGTATTTATAACATGACTTTGATCGATCATTGCGGCGCTCTCTACCGTATATATGTTGTACATTTATACAGTCTTATTTTTTAAATATATAATAAATACATAATATATAGCTTTACTTAAGGTACATCGTCCACTTTTCAAAGCTGAAGAATTTAAATCGATATATATAAAAATATCGATTTATTATCTTCAGTCTTGAAAAGTGAATGTATCGAAAGAAAAGTGGACGTTGCTATGTAGTTTACATCCACTTTATCAGAGAGCAGTGATGCGCGGCAGCATTTTGCGGTTACAGATTTTGGGCCGTCATGTCTTTTCTCAGATTTGTCTCTGATGGCACTCTCTATTATATGTATTTTTCTTTGTTTGAATGTGTTTTCTAATACAATTTGAATTCGACATATTTTTCACAAACATGGCATGTTATAACTTGGAAGGCATTTTATATTTAAGGTTCCTGAATAGTCAAGGTGCCTTCAGCCATATTGAATCGTGATATCATAAGCGAAAAATAACATGTTTTTCTTACATATCATTTGTAAATAAAAAGAATTTAGATGAAACGAAATGATGAGATCGCTTTAAAACATTTGTAAAAATGGACGAAGACTTTCCTTATCTCCCCTGATAGTCAGTAAAGAATCAAAAAAAGGTTCGTGAAATGAAAATAGACTACGCATGCACATTGAGTAAAAACTAATAAACATACTTTATGTGCTTTTTGTAACTACTTACTGACTGTCAAGGGATAAGGATACTTTTCGTTCATTTTTAAAAGTGTTTTAAAGCGATCTCATCATTTCATTTCATCTAAATTTTCTTTATTTTATTCTATGCAAGAAAAATCAACATCGATTCAATGGCTGGAGTAAGTACTCAGGAGCCTCAAGTTTTTTTACTTGAAATTTTTTTGTGAATAGAGTTCCGAAAGGATAAACTTCTCGATTTTCTTTCAGTAGTATGTCGCTTGACATGTATTTTAGTGTGCTGATTACGAATATGATAACGAAAATTGGCGACAATCATTTTCAAGGTCAAATACTTAAAAACCGATTTTTTCGAAGTCGTGGACTTCTAAGCAGGGAAAGGGGAAGGAGATGGGAGTTGCTTCGCGTGTAAGTAATAATAACGCTTAGCCCGATTGTGCGGCAAATGACCATGACTTTTCGCAAAATGCGCGGAAAAAAAAAAAAATTAAATATTTGACTTTGAAAATGACCTTATCTCCAATTTTCATTATCATATTCGTAATTAGTACAAATATAAAATACAGTAGTATGTCAAGCGACAAGAAAATCAGGAAGTTCATCCTTTCAGAACTTCACGCAAACTCCTCTTTCTTGTCTTTCTTGTCTGATTTTTTAAATATAATTTATATACACATTTTAATGATATTTCCTGATTATCTTATATATTCCTGATTATTGTACAATTATAAAAATTATAAAAGTAAAAAAATCAGTAGAAGTAAATCTATAAATGTTAGCAACTATAATATAAGTTGTTGCGTTTTAAAAATTAAAACACGAGCGATTAGACATTTACAAAATTCATAGCGAATCAGTAACACAACTTTACTTATTTACGAGATGGAAAAAAGAAAAAGATATAAATGAAGATAAAACAAAGAATTTATATTACATTTTCACATGGAACATACAGATACGGTGTTACTTATGTAATAAATAAATTTCAGGAGCGATTTTTTGTTATGCAATCAAAAACAAGCCTTATCTTCATTTTCTGACTGATCTCAAGACGAAGATAGCCGCGGTCGCGGTTGCTTCTGATTGGATAATGAAAATCTCAAGATTGACCAACTTATCTCTCGAATTGAAATTATATCTCATTTTTGCATCTCAAATATTTACAATTTCCAATGTATCTCCAAGAATCATTTTAAGAAAAACATCGAAATTAGAAAAAAATCGTGCTACTGCATTAATTTAATAGCTATATTAGTGGCTGTTTGATCATGCTATACTGAAGCCTCGTAACAGCGCGTGGTTCGCTTTGAATTGTAATAATAACGTAGTCTTATTGCATATCACAACCATGAAATTCCTACTGGGCCTTATTGGAGAGGCCGCAGTTACCGCTACTCCTCATTATATTCCTCATTTACTTACTATTGCATTTAATGTCTGGAAGCGATTTTGTGCGCTATTTCGAAGTTCCACTGTATTTGATGTTATGTGATCACCGTACTTGATTGTATGTTACGCTTACTTTTGGGCCGTTTCGCGATTTTCTTGCTTCACAGCTGGTCTTTTCCTGGGTGTCTCCACCCAGTCTTTGTCATCTTTGTCTTCAACTCCGCTGGACGATGATTGCGCGTTTGTCGGTGTTGTCGCTGCTGCTGTTGCTGGAATGTTCGACGACGGTGCCGGTCGTTTGCGCGAAGGCGGACGCGGTGTTGTTGCCGCAGGTGAATTATGAGTTTGATTGCTAGTTACTGAATTTTCTACGCCACCCTTCATTTGCTTTTCTTGATAACGTTGCAGTTGCAACAATTTCTCTTCTATCTCTGGATTCAGATTCTCTTGTTTCAAAGCATTTTTAATCGCTAAATCAACAATAAATAAGAGCATTTAAAGCAAGGATGTAAGAAATATTTCTCGAAAAAGTCCAAAAAAAATTATTAATATAAAAAACATAGTTTTAGAAAATTTTGTGACATAAGAAAACATCTTTGAAAAATTTTGTATAAAAACACAATTTATGTGTTCCATTTTTTGCATACTAACTTTGTTGAATGTAATCTGGAGTTAGTATAAATTTATTCGAAGATGAATCGTTTCCTTCTTTCATGGATTGGGATGATGGTTGTTGTCCATTAGCTATATTTGCCTTTTGTGTGTCGTCGTCTGTCACATTTGCTACACGTCCTACTTGCTGAACAACTACTTTTGGTTTTTCTGTCGATTTTGGTGTTGTCGCTTGCGGAGTTTCTGGAATGGTTTCAATAGCGTTTTGCGGTTCTAATATGTGAAATATTCGTAATTATTTTGTCAGAATTATATAAGAACATTTATCATTGCATATTTTCTGAATAACAAAGATAACAAAGAATTAAAAGTATATATACCATTGGTAGATGATGGAGAAATTGACTGTTGCTGTTTTGGAGTGGCTGATACAGGAGTATTTGCAACTGATGAAACTTGTGTAGTTGGTGATTGCTGTTGCTGATTGTTGTTGGATGATTGAGCTGGTTGAACAGCCAAGTAAATCTTTGTTGGTCCTAAAACGCCTTGCTTGCCAGTCGCTGCATGTGCTGAAATCGATTTAAAGTTTATAATTCGACACAATGTTGACTAGATGTTTTATGCAAGAATGATTGTAGACAATTATTTTATAAACCAACGTTTTAAACAAAATTTTATTTATAATGTACATAAGATCAGAAAAAGATGATAAAAAGTAATAAACCCAATTATAAATTCTATCGTGAAAATTTCAACTTTAAGCTCTAATTTTACACATGATGACTTATAAACTGACTATAAATACAATTCGATCAATCAATAACGTTCAGGGAATAAAAAACGAATTGATACGTTTCCAATCAAAAATTGATGCCATGCAGAAATTTATCATAAATTATATTTTTAACCTTTTAGGGATGACATCTTGTCATAAAAAAAATTCATTGCATTTGCTACAAAATGACTTACAAGCAAAGAATTATCGATATTATGCTATCGATACATATCGATGTATATATATATATA